GGTGGGGGGGGAACCGGGTGGAGGGGAGCTAGGGGGGGAAAAAGAGGAACAACTATAATAATCTGAACAATAAAGACTTAATTAAAAACAAACAAACAATAAGGGTAGATTAACATGTATACAAATGTGCTTGTTTTGGCAACACTTGCTGCACCTCCCACAGCCCATTAGCTACTTAGGAAGGAATTAGGGAGGGCTACAAGGTCAGGCTTAATTACGCTAGGAGAGTTCTCCCCTCCAGGCTGGGACTTGTTTGTGGCCCTGCCACTGGTCAGCCCAAGACTTGACCCTAGGGTCGTTCCCTACATTGTCCCATACACCAAAAGGTGGCGGCAGGTTCTATTCTTGGTCAGGGCACATACCTAGGTTCAATACCTGGTTGGGAATGTGCAAGAGGCAACAGAATGATGTTTCTCACATCGATGTTTCTCTCTCTCTCTCTCAAATCAATTTTTTAAAAAGTAAAGGTGTGTGTATGTATGCTATTTATGAAAATTTCAAATTACAGAGGAGTATAAGGAAATAACAAAATTCCCACCACTCAGCTCTATCACATTGTAGCACTTTGATTTTGGGTAATGTTGAGGCAATATGACCCCAGTTTAGCCACGTGTTCTTAGTTTGCAAGTTTCTTTTCTTTTTTTCCCTCAACCTCTTTATTTTACAGATAAAGATATGAGACCCAGAAAGGTTATGACCTCTTCAAAAACACATAGCTAGCTGACATGTTCCAGAGCCTACAAACAGACCAAAAGTTTCCTGATACCCCATTTTCTTTCAACTTTCCTTCTCATGTTTTAATTATTTTTCTGTTCTTTGTGTCCTATTAATTTTTTTGCAAGTTTTTTTATTTGTGTCAGTTTCAGATGTACAGCATAGTGTTTAGATCAGCAGTATTCAACCTACCTTTGGGTCGCGACCCTTTTGGTGGTCGAACGACCCTTTCACAGGGGTCGCCTAAGGCCATCCTGCATATCAGATTTTACATTACGATTCATAACAGTAGCAACATTACAGTTATGAAGTAGCAACGAAAATAATTTTATGGTTGGGTCACAACATGAGGAACTGTATTTAAAGGGCCAGAAGGTTGAGAACCACTGGTTTAGACAATCATATATTTTACAAAGTATTCCCCCCAATTTTTCCAGTACCCACCTGGCACCGTACATACTTATTACAATATTATCTTATATAATAACTAGGTAATATGCAAATTAACTCTCACACCCTTACAAGATGGCTGCCAATGACCAGGCTGGCAGGGGGGTTAGTGAGGGACAACCAAACGACTGAACAAGCAGGCTACGTGGGGCAACCAGGCTGGCAGGGGGGGCAGTAAGGGGAAACCAGGC